CCATTCATTTAAGCAAAGGAACTTGTGATTCGATATATTGTGACAGCCCACAGTATTATTATGAGTCGGCCTGTAACGAAAACAGATTTCGCTGGACGATTAATTGACCAAGAAATTATTGTGATAAACGATAATATTTTGAGACCATTTTAACACATGAACTGCAAGACAACCAAAAACAACAGACCTAAAAAAAAAAAATAAAATAGACTTGTTGATGAACAAATAATCCGTCTATAGTCTTCTACGCTGACACGTTCGTTCAAGTGTCATTACGCTAAGGAAATGAGGAGTCAGTACAGAGCGACAGAATCCTTTTGACTCTCAGTTTCTTTCGTAGACAGCGAGAGAGACGAGGAAAACACACAAGCATGCAAATAGAAATTATCGCATCCAGAAAAGTTATCAGGCTTGTTAAAAGTTATCAATTATATATACATATTATATACAATTATTGATTTATTGATTATCGTTAGAAGCCTAGACAAGATTTTGATGTGAATTATCTCCATCATAATCCCTAGGATTCAAGTAAAAAACATATTTCTTCATGTTGTCTGCACTGAAATGAATCATGGGATATGTAGTTCCCGATGTTTATAAGCTGTTGCTACTGTAAAATCATGCTTTTAAGAAAAGAAACTTGTAATTCGATATATTGTAATGGTCCACGATATTATTGTGAGACTTTTGACAATACGATATCACAATATTTCGGTTATCCCTACTTGTCAATATGGTATTAATAAAAAACAATATCTAGAATTAAAACTAGATTCCCATTTGAAAAAGTATCAACATTGAAAATAATGATCTAAATAGGAGAATATTTGATGTTTTCTGTAACATTTTAGAATATTACAATGAAAAACCACATGGAAACATTAAAAGAATTATTTCAGTCTATTGCTTAAAAAAATAAATTTTGTTGTGGTATCAAAATCAGTATTAATAAGCACAAGCTTTTTTTCTTAGTCTGAAAATTGAGTTTGAAATTTGTGCAGCTTAACAACTCTATTTAGTATACAGTAAAGTTGTGGCTGTTTCTTAACTTAATCCGGTATTATCCAGTCATATCCATGTAGTAACTTAAGCAAACAACAAACAAACCACAAATCTCACCTATACCACAAAGTTATTTTTTGGATCAGTTGCATATTAAGACACCGACATTAGCTCATTGTGCCCAGTCAGTCTTTTTTTTAAATCTTGTATGGGACATTGAGATTAGAAAATGCTCACAACAAATGAATAAATGTTCTGAATGTAAACACTATAAAGTGAAATTTGTTTAAAAAAAAAAAAAATCTACATCACAACCACAAAACAATGCCATTTCTGTTGACAAGGAAGTTCTCAAAAAAGTTAATTAAACATTACACAGATCAAGTTCCCTATTACCCTTGTTGTTAATCGTCATAGTAACAAAAAAAATGCAAGTCACGGCTAAAAATACACTATCTGGAAAGAATGGAAACAATGAAACCGAGCACACTAAACTCTTAAGAAAATTGCTTTTACCATTGACATGCGGTTTAGTCACTTAGCGATCTATGACAAATCCTGGTGAACTCCTGCTCTGTTGCTAAGGTGTGGTCATGTGTGGTTTGAAAGGTCAAAGGGCACGGGTCACACAAACAGAGCGAACGCATTAGGCACTTAAACTGAGAGGGCCTCCATTTTACCACGTGGATTGATTACAAGTGACAAAAAGTGATTGGTATAAAATGGACTAGTGAAGTAGTGACTTTTGAGGGTTAATATATGATCTGAGAAAGAAGATAAGATGAGAAACTGGCTTTAAAAGAATATAAATAACTTAAAATGTCAAGTTAAAAATGAAAAGGATAGAGATATAATGTGATATTTCTGCAATTTCTGATTATTTTTAATGTCAGTTCACTTTTTCTGCAAAACTTGAACTTCAACCACGACGTTTTTTCAAGGATAATATATATCATCGCATCATTATTAGGGGTGTAACGATATCCAAGTCTCTCGATACGATATTGTCACTGTATGAACCTCACAGCACGATATTTATTGAATTTGAATTTATTTGTTTGGAGGATGTCTCGCCATCTCATTTTCGAGGGGGTCCTCATAAAAACAACCACAAAAGACAGATACAGTAGGGCAGACAGTAGGATACATAAAGTAAGCATCAAAACAACAAAACTCACACACTCATTCACGCTTGACTGTTTGACACATAATAAAACAAATTTGAAAGAAAAAAATATATATTATAATAATAATAAAAAAAAAATAAAAAAATAAAAATAAAACAGAGTTAAAAGATAATCACAGAATACAACAAGATGAACAACAAAATGATCAAAAACAGTTACACAGGTTCTGTAAATATTGAACCAGAGCATTTTTAAATGAAGGAACAGAAGTTATTGCTATATTGTGGGATGTAACAATATCCATATCTCTACTTATATTTTCACGATATACATCTCATGATACGATATTTATTGAGATATTGTGTTGAGGCTGCGAACAAAATTGTTAATATGCTCCTTTTTCCTCTTAAAATGCCTTGACAAGACTTTATCCAAAGAACTAAGACTTAAACATTTTTAGAACTGTTATTTCTTCTTGTTGTCCGCACTGAAATGGAGCAAAGGATCATGGTCTATGTAGTTCCCTCTGTCTTTTTTTTAACTATTGCTGCAGCATAACTCTTCATTTAAACAAAGAGACTTGTAATTCGATATATTGTGATGTTCCACGATATTATTGTGAGAACTTTGAAAATACAATATCATGACGATATTTCGGTTATTGTTATACTTCCCTAGTCATTATAGCATATTTATGTTGTATAGTAAAAAAAACTACATATCATCTGGTTATTTATATTAATGTAATCTCCAAAAATATAGCTATTTTGTCAAAACCACCCAAATTACCAAGAATAACCCTTGAATTAGCATTAGACAAATTGGGCAGGTGCAAAGACTTGGCACCACTTCATTTTAAATTATCCACCTTATTAGGCAGAGTGACCACATGGGGGAAATTACATCCAGGTTGCAGCCTATTTTAATGCTATAGAAAGGTGGTCCGATCCAATACGGCTGATGGATTGATGGTCTGAGCAGAGGAAACGATCAGACCGCAGCTGTAAAGTAACTGGGGCCGGCCGCTGACACTGTATCCGAGCTCATACGCTTGGCCTCTATAGAGAATTATTATTACGTAACTCGCTGAGAAGTGCAGCCTCATCCTCCATCTGTCCGATTAAGCCATACCCACACATAGGTATTCAGGACACTGTTACAAGTAGGCCTGTCAGTATAATTACTAGGGGCGTAATGATATACAAATCACAGGGTAAGATACAATTATTCATTTCACGATACGATATTACTGAAATATTGTGGAGATACAAACAGAATTGCTACTTATCCTTTTAAAAAACCTTGACTTGGGGCTATATTAGTGTCAAAATCCAAATAATTAAGATAGACAAGTTCTTTATAACAATTATTTCCTCATGTTTTTACATAGACCATGAACTTTTGTTCTATTTCAGCTGAGTTTCTTCAGTTTTTTAGCTATTGCTGAAATAAAACAATGCATTTAAGGAAAGAAACTTATAATTCTTATAAAACTTTTATATTATATTATGACAGAACTTTGGTGATACTATATCCATAATAATGACTATATTGATTTATTGTTCAATATATGAAATCTAGAACAATATATTCTAAGGCATAATATTTACTTTATGTACAATTTCTTTGCAAAAATGTGGAAATTTTGGTTATTTCAGTTGTAATACATTAAGATTTGAGATGTGGAGTGTTGAATAATTAACTTTAATTGCTAAATATTGGTTCTGTGATTTATTTGTTGCAGCTCATGCTTTTTACACAAATATACAGTATATTTAAAAAGGTTTCACTAGGATTTTCCTGTTTTGTTGTGTCAGAGGCAAAAAGTAGTTTCAGTATAATCATTATATATCTCTTTAGCAACATACCGTGCTTCGTGAAAGGCCTAATTATTATTACTATGCTTATTATTAAATTCTGGAAGGATTTATAGACGAATAAAGGCATAACAGAGCAGAAAAGACTATGAGAGTAGGTAACAGTAGTAATATAATGTCTGTAATAACTGTAAATAAGAGGCTATCTTTGGTGAATTAAAAAAAGGAGAAATAAAAATGTATATGAATTTCCATGTCCATATTCAAAAATCTACAACTGCCATTTCCACAGTGAAGTAGTTAATCATAAAGAGTGTCATCCTTCCTTCTTCTGTTTTTTTTTCTTTATATATTAAATGATCTACAACACTCAGTACTTTATGTTTATGTAATTACAAATAAACTTGGTCTATCTGTCAATAATAATCAATGGGGATAAACACGAGGTCTATAATAAATAGTGGCTGTGTATTTCTGTTTACGAAAAAGTTTGCTCACTTAAATATGGATGCCAACTTTCCTTTCATTTTCCTGAATCACCAGCCCAGTTTGCTAACACAGAAAAAAACATATGAATAGTTTATGGCTTAGCAGCAACCAGGCTTTCCAAGTTGTTATACAATACTTGAGTCAGTTCAGTCAAGTGCCATTGTGCTTTAGTGAAGTTTGAACAGAAAAATAAATGAAACTGTCACAAAAATGATCTGATCTGTTTAAACTGATTACCCTTTATCTATCAATCATTATTAGTGTGCCAAAAGAGCGCGCAGAGAGGACGTAAACAAGCAACGTTCCTCCTACTCAACGTGACAGCGTACGCACAGATGAGCCCCTATTGTTGATCCATATGGGGTGCCCCGAGAGAGGGATTGGGGGTTCAGATAAGACGCAGATTTGTCCGTTACTTTTTGTCTTAAACTTAAGTAAATACGCTGGTAAATATTGTCTGTGATGAAGAAATAATGTGAAGTTACAGTTTGGAGCGTCACGTTAACTTTGGACTTTTACGCACGCTGGTTAAACAATAGCACATGAGTTATCAAAAAGTTACCTTGCTTTTTTAGATCCAAGGGGAAGTTCCAGTCAAAATCCCAACTTCCTGAAGCCTCTCCCGCGCGTAAAAAGACCCAAAACCGTGTCAAGTTTAGCGTCCTTGGATGATCGCGGGCTGGGGAAGGTGTCCTCGGTGCGTATTCGCGTCTCGTAGTGCGACTAGTGTCCGAGTGGAGCACAAAGCAGAGGACCAAGCGGCAGCAGCGACCGATGCCTCCTCCTCCTCCTCCTCCTCCCCGCAGAGCCCTCCTCCCTCTCCCCGGGACAGCACCGCCCCCGCTGCGATTTAAAGAGCCAGTCATCTATTTAGGAATAACAATGGAGGTACAACTTCACACATCAAACACAGCTTTAACACTTTCAGATGATTTACGGGGGACGGTGGGCACGGCACGTACCCGCTGGTGGTCTCAAAGGTCTTTAATGTACTCAGTAATGATGAGAGTATATTATCAGGATTCCTAGACAAGAACTAGGCCTATAGGAACGAGCGTTTTATAGAGCTTTAAAAGGCCTTGTACTTACTGAAAATTAGAAAGATAAACCATGGGCTAAAATGGTCCAATAATAGTCTGAATGGGAGAAGAAATTCAGGGAGTTGTGGTCACGTTGATTAGGTTTTCACTGCTGCTGGACAAGTGTTGAAATTAAACTTTTTGTTGTTTTGTTGTATTTATAGTCAGAACTATAGCTACTGGAGTATTTAGTATCCAAGTAGTAGTAGTAGTAGTAGTAGTAGTAGTAGTAGTATTAGTAGTAGTTGTAGTAGGCTTGGTATCAGATTTTAAGAAGAAATAGAAGATACATAGGGGGTACTTTTGGTAACTTTTTATTTTATTTTCAAATGCAAAAAACATATCTATCTGAACAGTCTGTTTTTTTTTTTATTATTTAAAATTAAAAATTATTATTATTAAATTATTATTACAATTTTTTATGTAGTGTTCCACAGTATGACATGAAATTTAACTTCAAGGACACACCAGGTGAGTGACGGCCAGGCCAAGTTAAGGGTCAGATCTGTGGAGAGGAGACTGTGCTCACAGTATGAATGTGTGTTTTTGTAAGGTACTTTTGTTTTTATTATATATTTTTTTAACAATATACTTTAAAAGTTTTAAAAAATATACTTTATGCCTGATGAAGGCCTAGTGCCGAAACATTGCAGAGTTTGTCCTAATAAATCTCACATTTTGCAAGTAAGACGGTTTGAGGGATTTTTCTCTATACAAGCATATGATACATTTATACATTTATACATTTCAATACGATATATTTCAAAACCATTCGATACGGTTCAGTAAAAAATGAAGGCTAAATGATGGCTGTGAAGTCTTTGTTAAACCACTTCTTGTGCAAAGTTCATATGAAACACAAACATTTTAATAATCAAAACAGTGAAAATGTCAAATGTGTTACATAAACGAGTTTCTTTCCTCTGAACCAACAACAAAACTGTAACTCTGTAACAGAATAATGTAATAAAATATACCAAAAAATACTCTTGGCTATTTATATCGATACAGCAATCCACGATATTGATACTGTATCACATTAAATCATACGATATATCGATATTTCAATATTTTTGCACACTCCTAGTAAGTCGTTTTTACATTTTGTTGAAAATCAAACTCCTAAACAGGACCATGAACACTCGTATTGATCACAGGCTCCTGAAAAAGCGTTATTTAAATCCATTTAGTATTTTTCTATCTTAAAACTGTTTTGGCTCTGTTTGTTAATGTGTGCTTTTGGTCACCGTGATAACTCCTGAGCATTCTACCGTACACATACATTTAGAAGAAACCCAGCGTGACGTCAAAACAAAGTATAAACACTTGAAATTGAATAAAAACAAGCTAAATAAATGTAATATGATCTTTATTAGTAGGTATGGTCCAGCAGAAGTGCACCTTTAACACTTCTCCGGTCTCTTAGTTGCGGTGCCGTCATCTGTTTCTCATGTGTGAAGGTTAATAACTCACTCCACAGACTTCAGCCACCCACCTGTAAATAACATCAGGATTTACAATGCAACACCATGGACCAATTAGCAGCACTGGTTCATAGACACAGCTCTATCTGGGAACACTAGATCCACATTTTAACCGAGACTTTGATGGCGTATTCCCCCTCCTGGGCCCCCGAATCAGTTATTGCTTCCGTGTGTGCCTGTGTGTTATATAATAGGTACAGTTTGAATAGCCAGAATGAATCCAGGCCAGCGAAGAGTGTCTTTTGAAGATAAATTGGGTCAACTGCATGGAAAGGCTGCTAAAATTACTTCCATTTTGAAGTTTGGATCACCCAAATCGCTGCAGAAGTGGAGATTTTCACTGGTGTGCAGGAAATCAAGGTCAGGAATAGTTGGCAATCTTAAGGGAACAGACATTTCATAAGAGAATATTGTCTAAAACTGGTACTTGAAGTGTTTGAATAATAGTTTGAAAAGTATAAAGTGCGTAAACTATACCGACTTCAAACTTGGCCAAAGTAGGGTTACATAGTAGTTCAATCAGTAGTGTTTATAGTGTAGTATATAAAATATTTTTCATACATAAGGTGCACTGGATTATAAGGCACATTAAGTGAAACAAACGGACGACACTTGAGACTGATCCTTAGCCCAGACGTCCACGATCCATTGGCAGATCGTGGCGTAATTTGGCCGGCGTTGCCTCCCTGTCTTGGTGAATGTGGATTATGAATGTGGATGGATTATTTAAGTTAGTTTTTTTAATTTCCTACGAAGACTCAAATATACATTGAGTATGCACACATTTGATTACATTTTACAGAAACAAAACTTAAAACCACATGGCTCATTTGCATAAACTATAAGTTCTGAAAAAACAGCTCGCTCCTTGTGTGCTTCTGTCGGACTAAAGGACATGACTCAGTGGAATATGTGTGTTCTTTTTGCGATGGCGGCAGTGTGCGTTGAGCCAATGCAGAATTATATTTCGGCCTTTACTCCGCAAGGCTCCTGACTACAGTAGCCATAATGCTCCGACAATCCATCAAATGGTGCGGCTTCATAGTTTACCAAAGTTGTAGTAAAACATTTAGACACATTTTTGAGCACCGTGTACCACAAAAAAAAAAAACGGTTCGAGGTCAGAAAACACAACCAGAATTAACACATAAAGTGCACCTGATCATAAGGTGCACTGTTGATTTTTGAGAAAATTAAAGGATTTTAAGTGCGCCTTATAGTCTGAAAAATATGGTATTACATTAAACATGCAGTTTTGAAGTAGGTGCTAGAAAATACTTTGGAAAACTCTGCATTCCCACTCCACAGATCTGACCTATAACTTGGCCTGGTGGCGCCATCTCTTGTCTTAATGAACAAAGATAAATTTAATGTCAGACTGTGGAACATTCCGGGCAGAGCAATGACATCTCCATGGAGATAAACCCTCCTCCAGAAGACTCATAGGGCACATTGAAAAGGCTAATACTCTGTTATAATGTTGTTTCCTCATCAAAAACAGACCTGGAGTTCTGTTTTGTTTCATTCAATCACGTTTAACACACAAACCCTGCACATTAGGTTCTTCTCTCAAACAGAAAACACTCTGTTTCACCTTGTGATGTCATACAGGAAGTGCTCCACTGTGTTTTTAAACTCCTTTCAGCTTCACTAGAATCATTTGAATAATTTTAGGCTTGGAAACGCCAATCTTTACTGAACAAAAGGTAAAAGGTAGCTGATTACTTGAAAACTACCACTACATGAGAGCATTTTGAGCTTTGGAGAATGTATGAAAAAAAAAAAAAAACACAACTCTGGGTCTGTTTTTGATGAGATAACAACATTATAACAAGGCTCAAAGCTCAAGAGTCAATTTTGCGTCATATGGTTAAGCCTGCCAGTATTTACAATTTGAGTACTATTATTCATAAGTACTTTTAATTGAGTACTTCTCTTTGCAATAGCTTGAAAATGAATGCAAAACACTTTAGTTGAGAAAGCTCTTAGCGCACAACTCCACTCCTGCTAACCTACGAGTCCTTGTACTTTCTCTTAGCTCAGACCCTCTGGCCACCCTCAGTGTAGAGCAGCTCAAATGAGGCAATTAAATCTGGACTTTTTTCACCTTCTGTTCGAATCCTTTAATTTCACTACTGCGGTTCTCAAAGCTCATCAGGGCCATATAGGACCCAGGGCACCCTCTTTTATTACAGGGACCACCGGCTCACCCCGGTCCATGTCATTCATGTGAGGGGAGAGGCTGTACTGAGGAGGGAGTGAAGGGTTTTAGCTGTACCTTCTGTTGGAAAGAGAAATTTCCCATGTGTTTTCAAAAAAGGGATTAGAGTTTGGATGTTCCCAATTCCCAGATCCCTTGCAGCTCGTCTAATCGGCTCCACTCTCTCTCTCTCCCGCCTGTCTTTAGTGGGTTAGCGCTGGATCTACTCGGCTCTTATCCAATTATCATCCAACGCCATCTGATAAAACGGCAAGATAACACTATACTGTTACTTGAGTACATTTCAAAAGGATAAAAAGTTCTCGATTCAATTAAGTGAGCATTAGCCACTTTATAATTCCTTTGCCTGATCAGCCGGTCGTCTCTACGGTCTGTTAGAATCCAGAAGCGTCTGGAAGCGGACCATAGAGAAAAAAGGAATCTACATCCAAACTTGAGACGATGAAACTGCAGCCGCTAATTTAAATCACGTGTTTCTCAAATGTGGAAGATGTCTCCTCTTGAAAATTCTCAAATCATTCTGAACAAAATATTTTTACTTCTTAATCTGAATATTACCGGTCAGTCTTCATTCCTACTTTTCTCAAACTGTCTAAATGGTCATGAGCTCTGGGTAAAGTGACCGAAAAGGACGAGATGCGGATACAAGCGCTTGAAATGGGTTGTTCCTCCGCAGGGTGGCTGGGCGCTCTTAGAGATAGCGTGTCGAGTGAGCTCAGTCACACGGGAAGGAGCTCAGAGTTAGAGCCGCTGTTCCTCCACGTCGGAGAGTGAGCCAGTTGGGTGTGCGCTCGGGCATCTGTTCCGGATGCCTCCTGTGGCGCCTCACCTCGTGGAGGTTTTAAAGCGCTCTGGCATTGTGGGACGCGCAGTCGTTTTTTGAGGGGCCCCGGAGGTTTAAGACCCAGGAACACGCTGGAGGGCATCAACAAAATAAAAAAGAAAATTGTACATATATCGGC